AACGTGATGATATGCGTCAAGTTCAGTGTAGTGGTGTTTGTGTAGAAGCTCAAACAATGCTCGTAGTTGGTAAGGAAAAAAACATCCAGCATGGTACACACACATTTTACGGTGTTATCGTAGAAATTTGGGAGTTAGACTACAACCATTTTAGGGTTCCCATCTTTCGTTGTAAATGGGTAGATATGAATAGAGGGGTTAAGGTAGATGATTTGGGATACACTGTGGTTAATTTGAACAAATTAGGTTTTCAGAATGACCCATTTGTGTTGGGAAAACACGTCATGCAAGTATGCTACATTGATGATCCTCTTGAGAAACTATGGTCAGTTTTCCTAAGATTACCTGAGAAAAACTATATGGACATTGATGAAGATAGTGAGGGGTCTGTTGAATTAAAACTCGAGGAGGAGTTGGATGTGAGATTGTTACCACCCAACCACGCAATAAATGAAGATAACAGTAATTACATGCGAGAAGAAGATGAATTGATTGTGTTGGCATAAGTTTTGTTAACCATTAAGTGGGCCAATTTTTGTATTTTGCTCTGCCAGAGGGTGTATTTTAGGTGGATGTTGGGTGCAGTTTTTTGTCATGATCTGCACTTCATGTCTCTTGGAGAGTCCTAGCCCTCCTGTACCTGTATTTCGCTGGTACTGTGTGTTATGTCACTCTGTATTGCGTTTTGCTTTCTGTGTGGAATCATACTGGCTGTTTTGGGATGGTAAGGGACTTGTGTTTCAAGCAATTGATTTATACTTCCAGGTAAATTAATTTTGTGTTTTCCTACATTTTGGGGTTTATGGCTGCCCTTTGGGTTTTATTCTCTGCTTTATTATATAAAATGTTGTACTGTCAAGGTTTAGTTTGTTGATTTTCATGATGTGCTGTTCATGTCGATATGCTAGCAGTGCTTGTCCTCCTGTATATTGATGTTGCTGTGTCTTAAGTTGTGTCCTCCTGATGGATACATTTGGCCATAGGTTTTTTGCTTTTTGGGTATAACAATAATGCTGTTCACTTGGTGGCTTTTCCCAAGGTTTGTACTGTCAAGTTTTGTTGGTGTGTTTTTCCATTTTGGTTTCTGCTCTAAGGTGTGTATGATTACTTTTAGAATGGATGATTGAAGGATGAAATCTGCTTCAAGGATATTAACGGAATGCTTGAAGGATGAAGCTAAGCTTGAGGGATATCCATGTTGGTGAGTCATTTCCTAACTTCAAGGATATGTACTATTTCTTGGATACTTGTTGGTCATTGCCTTTATTTGCATTTACCACTATTAAAAAGAACCAACTTTTTGCCTATAACAGATCATGTTTTGGAGGCATCGTCATGAAAAATTGCAGCACCAAAGCAGTTACTTGAGCAAAAAAGTTGTTCTCTGGTTGTCGCACTCCATTCCTCAGTACACCTTGGGTCATACATTCTATTTGCATCTCGCCATCTTCTAATTGTTTTTTTTTTGTTTTATGATGTGAGATTGATGGATTGTATGGGTTCCCAATTCCCTTTGTGTGTAGCGGGACAGTACCCAGCCTGTCCATGTACAAAATATTTCGTTTGAATGGAAGTGTTTATTTTTTCATGTCCATATAAATCTTTAAAACAACGGTTGTTTGATTGTTTGGGCAGTAGTTTTTGAGTGACTGAGTTGAACTCTTAGGGGGGGGGGGTTGAGTTGGTTTGGAGTGCTTTACTTGTTTTGGTTTGGGGTGGGTTTTGAGTGTGTGTTGGAATTGTTTGCTGTGATGCTTTGGAAAGCTATAGTCTGGACAGGGCATGAAGATAGGGGGACAAGACAGCTGCTGCAATTGGGATCAAAGAAACCAACCAACCTTCAACTCCAAAAAAACAGCCCAGGCAGTGACCAAAACAGCTCCATTTTGTTTGCTGTCATGCTTTGATCCATTTTGTTTGCTGTGATGCTTTGGTTTCTGCAATTGTTTGCTGCGATGCTTTGGAAAGCCATAGTCTGGACAGGGGCATGACGATAGGGGGACAAGAGAGCTGCTGCAATTATAGCTAACTGTGAAAAAATTCTCTTAAAAATAGTTTTTTTTACTTATTATAGATAACTGTGAAAAAAATAGCATGTGTCCATTTGATAAGAGTAAAAAAAGCATAGTTCCAATCCTTACATATATCCTAAGATACCAGCAGCTAAGATGGAGAACATGAAGTTACCAGTAGTTACCCAGTTTATTTGACAAAACAGCTAAAGTAGCATGACAGTACATAGATTTTACATGCAGTTAAGGCTAAAACCCACTTGAAAAAAATTTGAAAATGACCTGCGTAAGGTTTAGAGGTCATTTTCACCACGGCTAATAGTTTCACTATGGAAGCTAGATGCTTTGAAATTGTACTTGTTCTTTTCCCCTGCAGTTGTTTGTCATCTTGACTTGTATAGTAGCTCTTTCTTTTCTCTTGAGTTGTGGACTTTTTGTGTGTTGGTAAGAGAGCTGATGTGGGCATAATAATGAAAATATTTCATCTCGTCTTTGGTATGTGGTTGGTTGTAACTTGACAGCAGCTTTGATGAATAATGAGATGAGTCCTTTGTTCAGATTCTCGGTGTCAACTAATTCCAATGGTGTATTCAGTTCAAGCGATCTAGCTCCTTTTTTCAGATCTTCTGTGAAGAGGGTGAATTGTATTTTTTGTTTCATCGCCCATCTCGGCAGAGATTCTGAACGTGTAGGATGAAGTAAGGAATTGGTCCATGTTCTCTAAGTTGTAGTTGGCCTTTTATTCAGTATACTTGGTCCTGGATAAATAAAAACATGAAAGTACTATTAACAGCGGAGCGGGGTGTGTAAACCAAATGATAGCAGTAAAAGTGTATACCAGAAGAAAAGAAATGTAAAGAGCAGTATACAAAAGAATTAGGCAGTAAAAGTATGTTATTGAAAGTATTAGGCAGTTGTTGACAGCCTTTATGATGGATAGAAGCACTGGTGCTTATGTACTTCTAAAACCTGCAGTATCATTTTCATTGCAATTTGAGAAAGTTTTAGGTTTTCAATGACACACAAGTTTCTCAATCATATCTGACATTCCAGGAACAGGTGTTTAACATGCAGCGACAGTGCGGAACATGTAATTAATTTTATTTGGTTTTGGCTAACAGAATTGAAAAGGTAACCATCAGTCTTTCCTTGCGGTGAGTAAGATAGTGAATAAGTGTAACTTTTAATGTATATAGGAGGGTAAACTTTCTATGAATCAAATTCACAGTGTACATCAAATAACCAATGTTGTAATGTTTTATCGAACACAAATAAATGATGATTATTATTACGAACATGAACATAGAAATGATCCCAAAAACTTGATAATGAAGTTCAAAAAACAAAGATGTTAGACTGAACGTGGCTGCATCTGACACAGATAGTACCTAGGCACCGACGCACATCGTGCATATTCCACTATGGTAACCATAGGAGTAAAGGAAGCATAAATGTACAGTAAAGTTATAAACCCTTTGGCAATGATTCAAGTATACAGTATTGTGTTTTAAATTTAAAATCTCTGATCAGCTCATCCAAAATATCATCAGAGTTCCTGGGATGTTCTAAAGATTTGGGTTGTATTATTTTAGACATTTCTCCATTTTCATACAAATTATGCTCAAGTTCAACTTTAAAATCAGCCCTTGGTGTTTCACATTTGTTTTGAAAAGTAACTGCAAACTCATATTCTGTTTCAAAAGCACCTTAAATGGTCCAGTTTCTTCTTGAAAATCAGCTTCAACATCATATTATATAGAAAAACCAACCACTAATATTTCACTTCTCTATTGAAAATCAATGCAAACTCTGATTACTTTAAAAAATCAGTCCCTACACTGTTTTATAGTGGAAATTAACTTCAAATTAAGAATTCTCTTTGAAAAGCAGCCCTTAAAATACTAAATATCTCATGACAGCCCTTAAAGTTTCAAAAGTAGCCCCAAAAGTGTGACTCTTCACATAAAAATAAGCTTCACAATGATATTCTGTTTCAAAATCAGCTTCTAAAAGTTCACTTCTTTCTTGAAAATCAACTACAAAATCAGTTTCTCTCTCAAAGCTTGTTCTGAAAGTTTCACTTAGGGGTTGAAAATCATATTCCAAGCGTGATTCACTTCCAAAATCAGCCATTAAAGTTTCAAAATCAGGTTTGGGTTTAGTCTAAAAGTGTCCTTTAAATTTTAAGACAATACAGATTTCTTAGCACAGTTTCTAGAATAAGATGCTATAATTTTAGAAATATGTGATTAATGAAACAAGGGGCTTAGTCTAAGTGTACTTCCAATGTAATCATATGGAGTGAGAAAGAATAAGATAAAAAAGATGTGTACTTTAGATTGAATACATCATGCCAGTAGACTTGAAATTAAACCAAATGAAACTGCACAGATCACGAAGAAGAAATTCATTCAAAGGGAGTGGACTTGTTGTATTCAAAATCAACGTGAGCAAAAACTCTTTAGATTTGGTTCTCTTTTAAACTATCACTTTCATGACTTTGACATTCATCAAGAGTATGCAAAAGATTTCCCTAACCAAATTGAAGTTCACTTTTAAAATCAGTCCTTGGTGTTTCACATTTGTTTTGAAAACGAACTTCAAAGTCATGGCTGTAATTATATAAAAGTACATCAGTTTAAAACAAACAAATAAAATATGGAGGAGAAATTCAAGAGAAATGTAAGATTAAAATGTGTTGTTTGGATGAAGAGAAAAATGAAGCACCATTACATCTTCTAATCATCTTTCAACAAGATATTTGGTTGTTTTATAAAATATGTTGGCTCTAGCAAAGTGTGTTTTCCTCAAAACTATAACACATTTGTAGAAACACAACAGAATGAGATTATAAGTGTCAACAAAAAAGAACTGCACCTTGTTAAAATAAATTGCAGGAACGAAGAGCAAAAATATCTTCAAATGCCTTTCTTTGTTGTTCTTTTCTATTTTCATGTGTTTGTTCACATGTGGTCAAAATATTATTGTGTTAAAGTGTGAGCGAGGCGGTGGGGGTTTGGTGGGTGGGGGGGACTTTATGCCCAATGATGGCCATCATATAGAGTAGAAACAAATGTGTAGTTGTAGTAATGGTAGTACAAAATAATGCATAAGAATAGACCAGGCAAATTAGTAAGTAATAATCATTCTACAAATTTTTTAAAAAAAATATTTGAAATTTTTCAAAAAATAAATCTATTGAAATTTTTATGTTTCAATACAATAGAGGTTTTATTGTATTGTCAATGAAAGCATGTCAATTGGAGTTACTTTGAAAATGGACCATCAGAATAATTTTTTGTTCACATAACCTTCTTTCGGAAAGTTGTTTGACAATATTTTGGATCCAAATCAAAAAAATTAGAAGGAAATAAATATTCACTCTATTCCTTCTAGGATTAAACTATCATTATTCCAAAAAACAGAGCAAAGAACAAGAGATAAATAAAGAATGTCAATATGTTTTGGTTGAGATTTAAAAACAATATCGCGACCTCAATTATAAATTTTCCAAAGCAGTAAAGGTAAAGAAATTTAAAGACCCTAAGTATTTTAAATTTTTTTTGGTATTCAAGCAGAAGCAAACCACAAAATTCAACATCAATTTTGCTTAATCAAACCAGAAAAGTCAGCTCAATTAATCACAAGTAAAACAGAAGTAAATAAATTTTCAGGCAGAGGTAAACCCTAAATACTTAAAACTTGCCAATTCAATTTCAATTTAGCATTATCAATTAGATGTAAACCAAAATCTTATGCTAGGGGTACACCAAAAAGGTGTACCCCAAATATACACTATCCCTTCTCTACCACACATTTTTATTTGATTTTTATTTACTAATTTTTTTTTAAATTTTTTTGCCTTTTTTAGTGGACAAGGAGAGAATGGGGGATATATGGGGTACACCTTTTGTGTACCCCTAGCATTTTTCATTGGAGTTTTTGTGGCTGTGCACATCCGCGTGGTGATTGCTTCTTGCAGGTCTGTGATGGGTCCGAAGTCGATCGGAATTTACAATTTTGCCTATGGGGTTTCGAGAGGATGAGAACGAGCCACTTTTCATGCGACGGAATAGGAGCGGGATTGAATGGGATGGAGATAAAAAAGAAGCACGCTAGGGAGTAGGGTATCTAAATTGCACAATCTTCTTGCGCACTGTTACTGCGCCCAATGCCAGTATAAGTAGTTTTCTGCCGGTTGGAAATGAAAGGGCTCCTTCTCAAATTATTTGCCACATTTGCATTCCCGATGCAAAATATCAAGTTTTTTCAATTCATTTTATTTACATATTGGTAAAGAAATAAAAAATAAAATTTACATATAAAAAAACTACATGAAAAGTTCTTCGAAATAAGAGGTGTCAAGAATATTTTATTTTATCAAATAATCAATGAAAACGTCGAAATAAACAAAAAGCTGAAAAAGCAAATGTTGTGAATAACTTGGGACCTGAGGTAGTACGTAGCAGGAAATTCGTGAGGCTGCGGTGCATCCTGGAATAAAAGCACTGTGTTCTGTTCTGGGTTTTAACTATCTGTTGTGTGGTTGTAGTTATTTTGTTTGCTCTGGCTCACATTGAACTGTTAAAGCATCTGAGCTCCATCTATTGCGCAGACTGCTGTATCTTATCTCCCTCTCTCTCATATGAATGTGATCATTATATTTTTATTCTCTTGGTTGGTTGTTGTTATGCACGATTGAGAGCTGAGAGTAGCGTGTGTTCCTTTTCTTGCTGCGTTCATAAGGTCGCAAGTGACCTGAGGGGCGAGTTGAGATGATAGGATTGAGTGATTTCGGGTTATATAACTGTATTCTTTATTAGTCATGGCTATGCTAAAAACAGTAATATTTTGTGAGTCTATGAATTCCCCAAGATCTTGATTATGTGGGTGTGCATTGGGTCTCTTGCAATAATTATATGTAGATAACAATGGAGGGTTCTTCCGAGTCTGGTTTGCAGAAGTCTGATGGTTCCAGATGGTTGAAGTCTTCACCCTTCATTGAAAGAAATCCGAGATTGGTTCAGGGAAGCACAGTAAAGTCATCTAGTAATGCATTACTTGCTCGGAAGGGAAGTGAAACTGTTCTGTTGCCTAAAATGAATCGGTGGAGATCCCACTCCGAGTTTCCTGAGAGTGAGCTAGCGCCTGACAGATATGGTAGGGTGGTTAATTTGAGAAAGTGGCTGGACGATCCCGAAAGAGCAGTGGACGCTCTTGAATGTTTGCAAATATTCACTCAAGTTGTAGAAATTGTTCACATGTCACATTCTCAGGGAAATGTCTTCCATAATTTGCGACCCTCATGCTTTGTGTTATCCTCATTCAACCGTGTCTCCTTTATGGAATTGGCATCATGCTCTAATTCTACTTCGGGTTTACTTGAAGTTAGGTTAAACAGCCAAACAGCAAAGTTTAAGGGTTCAATTTCATCTTCTCCTCGTGACTCTGAACTAGAAGGACGGCCGTTGGTAACACCCAGGTTGCAACTTGAGAGGTATCCTACCAATATGTTACCCATAGTGTCTGAAACGGTTTGCCAACAGCAGCAATCAGAGCATGCTAAGCCATGTTCTGAAACCTCTAAGAGCCAACAAATGGAGGTGGAAGAGAAGCTTCCATTTCCTATGAAACAGATATTGCTTTTGGAAATCAATTGGTATACTAGCCCAGAAGAGGTTGCCAGTGCTCCAAGCTCCTGTGCTTCTGACATTTATCGACTTGGAGTTCTCCTCTTTGAGGTTAGTGGTTAGTACGACTAAATTAGGCATGGCTTATGATTCTCGCCCTCCGTCCGAATTCATTTGTCCTTTTTTTTTTTTAAAATATCATGTTTAAGAAATGAGTTTAAAAATATCATGGAAAGTGAACAACTAATTTCGGGCAAACAAAACAAGAAAGTGAATAATTGAATTGGGACGGAGGGTGTATTTCCTACCCTCATGGCTAGTACCTCTCTCTTTTGAGCAGCTGTTCTCCACATCCAATTCACTAGAAGAGAAGAGTATCACTATGTCTAATTTGAGACACCGAGTCCTCCCAACCCATTTGCTTTTGAAGTGGCCCAAAGAAGCTTCATTTTGCTTGTGGTTACTGCACCCTGAGCCCAGCAGTAGGCCAAATTTGGGGTGAGACTCATATTTCTTCTTGTCATCTTAATAATATGTGATGTTTAAATTGTGTACTGCAGCATGATTTTTACTCAAATGCTTCTCATATAATTCCATCCGCCCTAAACGTACCTATATGCTTTTATGGGATTTTACAGGAATTTTTGTGTAAGTAATATTTGATTTGGTATATGTACTTCTCTCCCTACTCTTTACTCATAATACATTAGTGATATTATGATTTGCTTGCCTGTAGTTCTGTATTTGAACTTGGGTCGCTTGGAAACAACCTCTCTACTTCCAAGTAGGGGTAAGGTGTACGTACAGGTGATGATGCAATCTTATCTGCTGATTTATTTTTTGTTTGAGGTGCAAATTTAACAATATAACATCTTTGTGGTTATTGCTTATTTACTTTCTGCATCAAGGATGATTCAAACATCAGCATGAAAACTATATTGCCCACTGGATGGAAAATAATTGTTTTTGCCTATCAAGTGTTCTTACTCTACTAAAGCATTATCATTTTCTATCAGAAAAATTGGTTTGCAATGCATTTGCAACATGAACGGTCAGGATCATTCATGAACTCACACTAACAGTTATTTTTTAATTTGAATTACATTGAAAGAGATCTTGAAATATGTAATTATCAGCAATAGTTTAACCATGATTTTTAATTACACGGTATGCCCTCGTATTTTCATTCTCATACTCAAATCATCAATAATAACAGCGAGTTATCACAAAGTGAGTTCTTGAATGATCCAAAAGAACAGCTTGAAGACCAAGATGCAGCAATAGAGCTTAGAGAAAAAATAGCGGAGCAGGAACTGTTGTTGGAGTTTCTTTTGCTCATGCATCAGAAAAAATTAGAGGCTGCAGAAATTTTGAATGAAACAGTGTCTTTTCTATCTACGGATATAGAAGAAGTTACAAATATGAAGACATCAATGAGGATAAAGGGAGCATCTGACCTGGCAGTGGGCAAGGATCCACCGTCAAACAGGACTAGTAGGCCTCAAAATGATGATGATAATGGAAACAGAGGATCTAGAAAGCGATCAAGGCCAGGCCTTGGTACCTGCTATTCGGAGGTGTCCGGCAACCAATCAGATGAGTATAAAATATCAAAGACACTTGTTGAAAATGAAGGGACCTTTCTCTCAAAAAGTTCCCGGTTGATGAACGATTTCAAAAAGATAGAGGCAGCTTATTACTTGACTAGACGCAGATCTTTAAAACCTGCCGGTAAACCCTTGAGCAGACATCCTCATATAAGTAGTGATGGCAAGTGTTCTGCCTTAGTAGCTGAAAAAAGTTCTGTCAGTAATTTGTCATCAAAGGGAAGCTACAATAAGGGAACACAAAGTGGATGGATCAATTCATTCCTAGAAGGCTTGTGCAAGTATCTCTCTTTCAGTAAGTTAGAAGTGAAGGCAGACTTGAAGCAAGGGGATCTACTAAATTCTTCAAATCTTGTATGCTCTCTCAGCTTTGACCGTGATGGTGAATTTTTTGCAAGTGCTGGTGTAAATAAGAAAATCAAGGTCTTTGAATACAATTCAATCTTAAATGAAGATCATGATATTCATTATCCTGTTGTTGAAATGGAAAGTAAATCAAAGCTAAGCAGTATTTGTTGGAATAGTTATATCAAAAGCCAAATTGCTTCAAGTAACTTTGAAGGTGTAGTGCAGGTAGGTCAGATACTCATTGTGTCATGACATCTTTCCTGTTGAAATTGCACAAAAACTGAATCCTGCAATAATCCTTTTCCCAGGTATGGGATGTCACAAGGAGCCAACTTTTCATGGAAATGAGAGAGCATGAGAGGAGGGTCTGGTCTGTGGACTTCTCAGTTGCAGATCCAACTATGTTGGCCAGCGGCAGTGACGATGGATCTGTTAAACTATGGAACATCAATCAGGCAGTTCTACCTCTGAACTTTGAAACTAAGCATACAACAGTTTTGCAGTTATTTATTCAGTGTTTATAATATACTCAATTTGTAGGAGTTTATTTTTCTCACATGCATTGTCTTTGCAGAGTGCCAGTGTTGGAACCATCAAAACAAAAGCAAATGTATGCTGTGTTCAGTTTCCCTTTGATTCTGGCCATTCCCTTGCATTTGGTTCTGCAGATCATAGAATCTATTACTATGATCTGCGGAATTCTAAAATTCCTTTATGCACTCTAATTGGCCACAACAAGACGGTGAGCTATGTCAAGTTTATTGATTCAACAACACTTGTGTCTGCATCGACTGATAACACAATAAAGCTTTGGGATTTGTCAATGTGCACATCTCGGATTCTTGATTGCCCTATCCAGTCATACAGTGGACACATGAATGTAAAGGTATTTTTCATTAAGCTTTGACAATTTTTTGAGAATGTAGCCGGGTTTGGAATTAACTATGTAGAGAATTAAGTTGTGTGAGTCCAAAGTCATTGCAACTAGGCGGTCTACTTTGAATTACCTCTAAACGTGCTAAATATACTTAAATGTAACCTAATCCTTATCTCATGTAAACTTAATATTTTTATGGTGTCTAATTATTAATTAGTTTAATTGATAAATTCTTCTTGGTTTACTATGTCAATGGTGCAAATGAAGTTTATATTCGGTCAACAACAATTCTTATGTGATGTCTTTCACTCAACTATTTTTTTAATCTTATTAAGTTTGCTAATAGGTACATTATTTGTATGGTTGGTCTCTATTATAAGTTCATATGTGAGTTACTATTCCTGACACCAAGAAGAATATAAGGATCTTGTCTCGGATGAATTATAACTAAAACCACCAAGTCGTGCATTATATTTATCAAGTACCATTCTTAATTTAAAGAAGAATAGAAGATGTATAAAGAATTACATGTAATGAGATGCTCAGTACTTAAGTGTCATCACTGGTGTATCTGCCCCTTTTTGCCTCCCTATATTTTTCTTCAGTTCCATTTACAATGATTAATTTAAAATTAAAGATGTGTTTAAAACATGATTTACTGAATCACTGCTAATGAAGAGTGTCCTTCTAACAGAACTTTGTCGGCCTCTCTGTATGTGATGGTTACATTGCAACTGGTTCAGAAACAAATGAGGTACTACTCTTGTCATTTTCATTTTGGACTTTTTTTTATTACACTTTCATACCACTTGAGTCTTGTTGTGAAGCAATACTTCAAAAACAGATGTGAAAGTTCACACCTCACACGAGTTGGTACATATACTAGAAATGACATTTTGTAAAGTTATGTGACGTGCGTATGACAGGAACATGGAAACTTTGTGTGTGTTCCACTGTCAAAGTGAGAAGTGCATTTTAGAAGTGAAAACAGAATCAGTGTAGGGCCTTGTATTTGAGATTTGGAGACTCAAAAATTGTAGAATATTGAGACAATGTATAAGATTTAACACACATACATAACATAGAAATGAAATCTTATACTCCCTCCGTCTGTATGTAGTTCTACATTTTCAAGTTTTTGTGCATCCGTGATTAGTTATCCACTTTTCGAATTTTGTCAATAAAGCATGGTGGTTTATCAATGAATGATAGACTCATTTTAAGGCTTTATTTGACATTTCACTCGCACTCCTTAAATATGAGGTATTTTGGAAGCTGGAGAACTAATTTTCTCAATATAATCACACTATTAACCAAGCCATGCAACTAAAAGTATACTCCCGTTGTCCCATATCATTCTTCCAGTTTTCCTTTTTAGGAAGTCTCATATCTTACTCTTTCATTATTTGGAAAATAAGTAGGTCTTAATTGATTTTTTTGCCCTCAATCCACTACCCACTATATCTCCATCATCCCTCCACCTGGCGCGGCCTTCAGGGGTAACCTTCAAAACTCTGTCCACTACTTGCTGCACAACTTTTCCGCTCTTTGGTGCCAGCGGCGGACATAGCCGGAGCAGTTGCAGCGCTTTGAGAAGCCTAGAAGAGTAAATTTGTTGATGAGATCCCAATTTCCAATAAGCAGAGAAGCCTAGAACAGTTATGTTCCCTTTCCGATTTTTATGCTGCACACTTGAAGAAAGACTCTTCTTCTTCTCTAGAAGACAGACGGACAATCTCAATGAAGGGGAAGATGTCACTTTTTACAATTACTCAAAGCAAGGGCAAAATTGAAAAGTCAAAGATTTTTCATCATACATTTATATCCGTGCCAAGTCAAAATGAGGAGGAAATATATGGGATCTAAGGAGCATTTATAATCCAACAAGCACATCTTTTTTCTTTAAACAAAAATAAATAGATACAAAAGTAATTGCTACATAGTACATACGGAGTAGTAATACATTTGATTATGAGCAAAAAAAGAAAAGAAAAACATCATGGTTAATAACAAGAATACAACAACCCTGTATCCCAACTCAGTTGGGATTTAGATGGTCAAGATGTAGGCAGGCTTACCCGTGTAAAAACAGAAATATCGTTTCCATAAAACCCTAGATGTATTGCTACATGTACTTCCCAAATCTTCATAGAAAGTAAGAATCAAAGATTGTTTATTGTGGGGAAAGTCCATTATGTGTTTGAAGATGCAACTGATTAGTGTTTCATAAAGTATATAGAAAACACGGCCAATATTGACTCTTTAGCTCCATTGACAATGGATGGGATTATTAGCAAGAGCAAAAATGATTAGTAACCACTAACCACATGAAACAACAACCCAGTTGAATCCCACGAGAGACCTTACCCTTACTCTAAAGTAGGGAGGCTGTTTCCAAGAGACCCTCGGCTCAAGTAGCATAGATAGCACACGATTACAGAAGACACATAAAGCAGAGAAAGCACATGAATGTTGACATATTTAAGAAAAATATTAATGGACACATCCTTCCCACCTACTTCTGTTAATTAAACTATTAATTATTCTAAAGCGTTGGTAGCCCAAAATAATCCTTTTGGTGGTTTATATGAAGTGTCCTGCATCTCCCCATTTTACCAGAAAATTAAAATTAAAAGGAACACATTAGGCGTCTCCCCAACATGTTCAACATACACGCAAGAAATGTCTGTTGCTCCCCGTCATCACCCCATTTTCCTCCTTCACCTTTTTTGGAAGTTTTTGTCGCTTCCTAGTTCATATGAGGCTGAGGTTACCAATAATACCTGTATCACACACAAGAACATAATGGTGCTATTTTATTCTACTAGCTAGCAGCTACCAAAAAGTAAACAAATTTTTAGATAATTAACATTTACCGAGGAATGTAATTGTTATGCCGCATGCATTTTATTTTATGAAAATATACTCTGACCTATATGGCTATATGCTTTGAATAGGAGGGACTGAAAGTGTATATTGGGGTTTCAAAGACGTAAGAAAATAGTTTCATGTTTAATTTGATATTTTAGAGTAGGCAGTGTTCTGATGTTTTATCACTTTTTTTTTTTGTTTTTGCAACTTCTACTTGTACATCGATTTTTTTTACCGCAATGGGGTTCTTTTTAAAAAATAACTTCTCTACTCTTTGTGTAGGAGTAAGAAGGTGTGTGTTCATCTTAACCTCCTAGAGCCAACTTCAGAGTGCGAGTTAATTGGCTTATTTACTTTTTTTTTAATTGATATCATATGCAAGTTCAGTGCATATGACCTTTTGAGCCGATAGGACAGTAATGTTATTTCCTCCCTCACTTTGTGGAAACCAATTTCTTCGCCCATTCTGCTTAATTTGGAGCTGCCTGGTTTTCTCTTTTGCCGTTTTTTCTTCAAATCTTTTTGTGGCCTTCCATCCAAGTTTCATTTGGAACATTTCATTTTTCCAATCACACTTATGATAGTGCTGATGCTTTTTCTGTAATGTGTTGTACAGGTTTACATATACCACAAAGCTTTTCCAATGCCTGCATTATCATCCAACAAGTTTACTAGCACGGACCCACTTTCTGGCGATGCGGTGGATGACACCTCACAGTTTATATCATCGGTTTGCTGGCATGGTAAGTCATCCACCTTAGTTGCGGCAAATTCAATGGGCAATATGAAGATCTTGGATATGGTTTAGTGACTAAAAAACACGTAAATGACTGCAATGGAAGTTACTCTGGCATCTGAGGTGAAACTTTTCGTAGGAACTGTGGGCTCAAAGATGTGGTTAACAAGAAAAAAAAGATGATTTTTGTAACTAGTTCATAGCGGAAACAGCCGAATTGGGGTAGAGTATATAGATAACACGGAGGGGTGAAAAAGCTGATACTCCGTAATTGTTTCGCTCGACTGAGGTTGAGTTAATGAAGTGTAAAAAGATTTAACCGTCCCATTTTATTCCGTATTCGTACTATAATCACCCACCAATTAGGTATTTGTACTAATATTAGTCAAACATCATAAACTAAAATATATGGAGTATGTAATTTGAAACAGAGAGAATATAATCCTGCCATATTTTGTTTGCCATCTCTCTTGCCCACTTCCGTTTTAATATACCCCTAGCCTCGGCCTATGCCTAAAAGGCCAAAACAATTAACCAAAAAAAAAGCTAAAACAATTACCCTAGGAGTTCATTCATGAGTGTTTCTATGGTTCACCTTGGGTACATATCATTTTTGTGAATCTTTTTACATAAAAAACTTAAAATATAAAAATAAATGTTTATTTAAGTAATAAGAAATGCTTATTTTACTTACATGTAAGTCCATGGTGGACCTTAGGTCAACTATAATATTTGCCTTCATCCATAGTCTTTGTTCCAGAAATTTTTTATCTTTTGTTTTTTTATGTCAAACTAAGATATTCATTGACCATAAATTTAATATAATTTTAATAATTTAAAGTTAAAAGAAATTGATATATCAAAATTATATCTGATGGATACCGGGTCTGATGGACCCGACTGCAGGCCCAATAAAGGCCCATAATAGTGCGAGATGTATAAGACCAGGTGGAGGTGACGGGCCGAGCCCGTTACTACACGTGTGGCAGATGGAAAAGGACGGCCCAATCATGGGTTAGATCAAGATGACCAGTCCAAGGAAGGAATGGGACACGTGGCCCACATCATAGAGTTGTGAACGAGATGGGAAGAGAACGACACTGGAAAAGAGGGAGTCACAACCCCATGATCTCCATAATTTCTCCCATTTTGTATAATTTTAATTACAATATTAGAAGTACTATAAAAAGGGGAGAGAACCCGCCATTGTAAAACAATCAAGTAATTCTACACTTAATCAAAGAATATTATTGAGTGATTATATCTTTCTGATCCATATAACGTTCTTGGTCCGCCATCTGATCGGGTTAATCCCATCATTGGTGTTTCCATTGAGAGAAACTGTGAGATAAGGCTGTGAGATTATGGCCGGACGAAGGACGAGACGTAACGCCGCAGCTTCCGCCCAGTCGACGGTGAGGAGTGACAACCCTGAACAGGGTATGATCGTCCCTGTCAATGGGTTGGAAACGGCGTTGAATAATGTGGCTAACATGATGGCCAACATTATGGAACGATTGGATAAGGCTCTCCCTGGTCCATCCGGTACCCGGGACGTCCCTGCCGGGCAACCCCGCCAGGTCCTGCGTACTGCAAGTTCTCCTATCCTCCAGGAGCTTCATGATCCGGAGGAGGTTGAGAGGGAGAGACAGGCCGTCGCTAGACGCCAGGTGGAGGAGTTGGCCCGGAATACTAAGGTGAATGGAGACTGGGCCAGGGCTACAAGCCAAGCCATTGGTAATAGAAACGAAAACCCGCGGGGAACTCTCTTTGAAAGGATATCTCGCCGGAAGGCTCACGTTAGTGAGAGGCTGGGGAAGAATCCGGACAAAGCACCCTAGGGTTGAATACGACCCCAGGCCAGCCAGGTGGCATCTTCTAACCGTGAACCCCGGGAGCGGACCGGCCGCGGTGGCAGCCAAGCGCCGGTGCGGTCATTGGTGGTTCTGGACGAGGACGAGGTTCAGAGCCAAGTCAGGGTCCCAGCACCGCAACGTCTGGGGCCGCCGATACCGGAAGCAGGCGAATTCCAGGATCTGAGGCAGCAGATCCAGGAGATGCAGAGGAAGATAAACAGGGGACGAGTATTCACTACTTGGACAAATACTGCCTTAGCCCCGGAGATCTTTGCGGAACCATACCCACAGGGATTCAAGATGCCGTTCGTTAGGCGTTACGATGGGGAATCAGATCCCCAAAAACACATAAACAGTTATGTCCAGGTGATGATTGTCGTTGATGCCAGCGACGCATTGATGTGCCGGTGCTTCTTGCAAATAGTAGATAGCAAGGTTGCAGATTGGGTGAACCACATTCCTGCCGGATCGATCCGGACATGGGATGAATTGGGATTGCGGTTCTTAGAGCATTTTGCAGGGAACTGCCGTCCCAAGAAACATTTCACTCACCTGCCAGATCGATCCGGACGGAGAATCCTTGAATAATTTCCTTATCCGGTAGAGAAAAGAGTCCAGGGAGGTTGAAGGAACCGACGACAAATCCATGTTAGCCATGTTCACGGCGGCATTGCAGGACGGTCTCCTTCATACCGATCTTACAACTCATCCCCCGGATACCTTCGAAGAAGCAATGGTCCGGGCCGGGAGGTATGTGACCCTGGAGGAGAGAAAGGAGGAGAAGAAAGAAAAGACTCCCAAAGAAGAAGAGAAGGCAAGAAATAAGAAGCCGTTCAAGAACAAGAAGCAGAGTTTCCCGGATGGCCCAAAGGGCACAAGCCCTGGGATCTCGGAGAAGCACAAATCTGCCAATCCAGTCTTCACGTTGCCGGTGGCTGATGTCATGGCCCACGCTGCACAGTAGGGACTCATGACTTATCCAACCTATTCTCAGAAGGTCTGCAATGTGGAGGACACTGGGAAATGGTGTGCTTACCATCGCAAGAATGATCACAACACAGAGGATTGTTATACCCTGAAGAATGAGATGGCGAGGCTAATCCGCCGGGGTCATCTGAAGAAGTTCGTACAAGATGGCGATGCAAGAAATCCCGGGAATACTCAGAATGGAAAGCGTAGAGATAAGGAGGTGGCCCAGGCTGAGACCCAGGAAAAACGTCACATCGGGCTTGAAGATGAAGAGGAGGATTCAGAACCCGCACCGCACCGTCAGAAGAGACACCACGTGTGTAACTTCATCATTGGAGGGAATACTGGCGGAGATTCAGCCACGAGCCGGAAGAAGTGGGCCAACGCGGCAATGGTCAACAAGGTGCTGGTCCCGGAAGGTAAGAAGCTGAAAACTGAGCCAATTGTATTTTCCAATGCTGATTTGCCCGAAACATGGGTCCCCCATAGGGACGCCCTGGTGATTATGATTGATATAATGGACTTGCTGATCCACAAGACTTTGGTGGATACGGGAAGTTCTGTTAATATCATGTATATGGATACTTACAAGGCTCTTGGTTTGACGAGAGATGCATTATCACCCATTAAGACTCCACTGACCGGGTTCACTGGTGACTCTATTGAGCCGGAGGGGGTAATAACTCTCCCGGTCGAGATAGAGGATACTAAGGCCACCCGGAAGCTGGACATGGAATTCGTAGTGGTGGGGATAATCTCCAATACAAATATCATCCTGGGCCGCCCCAGATTGGAGGATCTAGAGTGTGTCATTTCACCTCGTCACCTATGCATAAAATTCCCGACCCCCCATGGAGTTGGAATCGCTAGGGGATCCTAGAGAGTGTCCCGTGCGTGGTATTTGAAGGCAACCAAACAGCCTATCAAGTACGACACCCAAGTGGGAGAGGTGACTGCACAGCTCTTAAGGGCCGATGAGAGACGTCCCAGAGTAGAAGTTACCGGCGACATTGAGAAAGTTGAGCTGGAGCCGGGCACGCCGAGGAGGTTAGTCAGGATTGGCAAGGGCCTGGGGGCTGAACTCAGATCACGAGTGATTTGAGTCCTTAGAAGGTTCAAGAAGGTCTTTGCATGGAGTCCAGCTGATATGCCAGGGCTGGATCACAAGATTGCAGTTCATCGCCTTAATGTCTTGCGAGATTCTAAACTGGTGAAGCAGAAGCAGAGGCATTTGTCGCAGGAAAGAAGAGATTTCGTGAAGAAGGAGGTAGCAACCTTGCAGAGCATTGGTCATATCCGGGAGGTGCAATACCCGGATTGGTTGGCAAACGTAGTTCTGGCGCCTAAGCCTCCTACGTGGAGGATGTGCATCGACTACACAGATTTGAACAAGGCATGCCCCATGGATCCGTTCCCTCTCCACAACATTGACGAGATGGTGGATGAGACTGCCGGATCAGAGTTAATGAGCTTCATGGACACCTTCAGCGATTATCATCAGATTCGGATGCACCTTGCTGATGCTGAAAAGACAAGTTTTATGACCCCGAAAGGGCTATACTGCTACTTGGTGATGGCCTTTGGACTGAGAAATTCTGGGGCAACATATACCCGGATGGTTTCTCAAGTGTTTAAGGCCATCCTAGGGCGCACCATGGAAGCATATGTCGATGACATGATTGTCAAGTCCAAAGAGGCCCGAGACCATGTCCGAGACCTCGAGGAGGTCTTTGAAATCATGATGAAGGTAAATTTAAGATTGAATCCGAAGAAGTGTACTTTTGCTGTTCAGGGTGGAAAATTCCTCAGGCACATGGTTAGCCGGAGAGGGATTGAGGCAAACCCGGAAAACGTTAGGGCCATCATGGAGATGGAACCCCCAAAGACAGCAAAAGAAGTCCAGCGGCTGACAGGGAGATTGGCGGCTTTGAATCGTTTCCTTTCAAAGCTGACAGAGAAGGCGCACCCATTTTTTACCGTAATCAAGAAGAGGCCGACCTTTGAATGGACGCAGGAATGTCAAGAGGCATTTGAAGAATTGAAAAGATATGTGGCGAGTCCTCCGGTTTTATCTAAGCCGGAACCTGGAGATGTCCTGACTTTATACTTGGCGATTGTAGACTGTGCCATCAGTACTGTGATGGTGAGGGACGAGAATGGGGTCCAACATCCGGTCTACTACGTCAGCAAAACCTTGAGAGATGCGGAGTTAAGGTATTCCCGTCTAGAAAAGGCCATGTTGGCGGTCTTCTGGACAGCGAAGAGATTAACCCCGTATTTTCAGGCTCACCGGATTGTTGTGCTCACCAATGAACCTTTGGCGTCACTTACCCGGAGCCCGGCGGCATCTGCCGAATGACCAAGTGGGCAGTCTTCATCAGTCAATACAATGTGGAGTCAGGCCGCGCCCATCAATCAAAGGGCAAGCACTCACTGATTTCCAAGTCGAGTGCACTGCCAGGGAGATGACAAGGGCACAGGCTGATATCCGGGTAGAGGACAACTGGTGGGTAATGAGCATCGATGGATCTTTAGGGTCTCGATCCTGTGGAGCAGGTATTGTTTTGATTACTATGGAAAATTTCCAGATATATTATGCTATCAGATTTCAGTTCCGCGTATCCAACAATGAGGCTAAATACGAGGCCCTGATCAACGGACTGAGGATTCTTGGTAAGTTGGGAGTGTCCAGGGTTCAAGTATACAGCGACTCCCGACTGGTGGTGGGACAAATCACTAGGGAGTTTGAAGCAAAGGAAGAGAGGATGAAGAGGTATCGAGACTTGTCCTTGGAGATATTGGGAAGGTTTGAGTTTAAGCTTGAACATATACCCCGGGCCCAGAACGCGGAAGCTGATGTTCTATCCAAACTTAGCGCAGAATCACTAGAGTACATAAGCAAATTAGCAACTGTCGAGGAGATGGCAACCCCGAGTCTTAACAGAGATGAAATGTTCTGGGTATCAGCTGATCCTCCTGAATGGTTGGACAGGTTGGCTAAATACATTGAGGACGGCGTAGCCCCAGAGGATCCCCAAGAAGCGCGTTTGCTGCGGATGAGGGTGCCCACCTACAAGATACATGATGGGGTCCTCTATAAGCGATCTTATAACGGTGTTTTACTCTGCTGCCTCAGGGCAGCGGAGGCAAAGGCGTATGTGCTGCACATCAGGGTCCATACTCTATTTCCAGAAGGGCGATTATCCAGGGATATTTTTGGCCAACGATGAGGAAGGATTGCGAAGAGTATGTGCGCAAGTGCCCAACCTGCCAACAATTCCAGAATATGCCCGGGAGGCCAGCCATGAACTATACGCCCATCAGCTCTGTGATTCCCTTCTCAAGATGGGGGATTGATATTGTGGGTGCCCTGCCAAAAGGGGTTGGGCAGGCAAGATGGATTGTGGTGGCCATAGACTATTTTACCAAGTGGGTGGAAGCTGAGCCACTTGTCGGGATAACTGGGAGGCAGATGATTGACTTCGTCGGAACTAATATACTTTGTAGGATCGGAGTCCCGAAACAGATCATATCTGACAATGGAACCCAGTTTGAGGAAGCAGAGTTTCAAGACTATCATTTTGTAAAGCGCTCCATTTTTAAATTTAAGATGTTTGCTTCAATAAAATTTTTCTTTCCTTTAAAGCAAAGTGCCTTTGCATTTTCATTGCTCTATAGATTTCTTCCAAAAAAAATGGGGGGGGGGGGAGAGCACCCCCGGGCGATATAGACCCGCATTACAGGGAGGTAGATTAGTTTATGCCACCTGCTAAAAATAGGGAAGGTAGATAAGTTTATGCCTCCGTCAAAAATGAAAGAACGGTTGGAATTGGACTTTGAGGGCCTTTACAACTTGGAATTCAGGAAGAACAGCAAACAGACTTCGAGGGCTGAAGCTTAGTATTTCACCAGCACAGATCAACCGAGCAAACAAACTTCGAGGGTTGGAGCTCAACTGATCCAAGGTAGATAAGATAATGCCTTAACCCGGAGGAAAGGAGGTCAGGGGCAGGTGAGGTAAGTTCCCATGACATCTCCAAACCCCGGGAGATGAGATTGTATACAGAGAATGAAATATGTACTTGCATTAGAAAAAGTGCAAAGAAATAAACATTAAGGGCCACATTGATGGGCCAAAGTTTACATTTTTGGTTCACAATAATGGTTCCTAGTGAGATAAAAAAATGAGGGAGTTCATCGATTGCTAATTCGAGGTTGTATCTTTGAATTACAACGATAATTCCTAGTCTGAGATTAAGGGACATTCCTTAGTTTGGGATGCAGGGAGAACTCTTGGACCAAACAAGTGAATGCTTCTTGAGATAAAACAAGAAAAAAAATTTTATTTTGCAGGGGGGCTAGGCACTGAAGGAGGGCCTATTGCATCCATGCAGTCAATAAGAAGGAGGTGGGGGCCCCTTCCATGGGCTCCTTCTCTTCGACGAGGGACACGTTGCGGAATCAGCAGCTTCCCATATGTCATAGTCTTCCCAAGTCCTAGGACGGGGAGCTGGTGCTCCCAATGTAGAACTAGCATTGAGATATCTCAACAAGTTTGGAGAAGCAGTCCGGCTTTCACGTGAAGTTTTCGCCTCGGCAATCGGAAAAGAGTGCCCGAGTTTAGCCCTGCGCATCCTTTGGTACAGGGCGAAGCCTTGGAGGGTCATAAAGTCCCAGTCTATCCTCCCGGATGGAAGCCTGGGTGGACTAGGAGGAGATGGTGCAGGAAGACGAGGTGATGGATAAAGTTTTGAGAACTCGCCAGGACTCAACCCAGCCAGGTCAATAGATCGAGCCGGAGAGGAAGTGAAATTGTCATCTGAAGAAGACGATGTCCCAGAATGGGTTAAGTCGATGATGACTTTACTCTGAGATTTACTTGCCATGGCGAAAAAATCAGAAAGGGATGAACCAGCAGCAAACTATCCTTTCCCATTTATAGTGAAAGGGGAAGAGATAGTTGGGAAGCAATGAATGCGGTTAAGAGACGTGAAAGACTAAGCGATTGGCGGATGAAGCGGTCGAAGATTCCCAATGTTTGACCAGGGGTTTTGCCACTAAAGTGCATGGGCTAGTTAATTGGGCCCATCTGCGCTTTGGGAAAGATGTCATCCGTGGAAGGTAGGGAGTTAAATGAATATAGACTTCTACCACATGCAGATGGTGGCACGCACGACATAATCATATTAAATGACAGGAGATAAAGGTTTTTCCATTAAATAGCTCAAATAGAGAAATTACATTCTTTTGGGTTACAGTAATGGGCCTTATCCCTGATCTAACAACAAAACATTAAAGAGACGGGAGATAAAGACTTTCATTAAATAACTCAAACAGAAGATTACATTCTTTTTTGTTACTGTAATGAGCTTTGTCCCTGATCTATTTCTATTCTACTACTGGAAAAATCTGAAGGCAAGGCGGATCAACACTTCTGGAATCTAGAGGAGTGCATTCGTTGACCCTTGTTTCCCTGCCTGAACCAGAAAAGAACCCCAGAGCGGGGAGGTGAGGAGAAAGCCCACCGTCTCTCTTGATGACATTCAAAAGAGGCGAAATGCTACCAACGAGTTGGGATTGAAAGCCATTCCCCCCGTGGGTACCATCTAGTCACTCCCATGAAGGCGGACAAGGAGGACGGTAAGGCATGAGGTAAGGACATAAGGCCTATCTCCGTTTATACGGGGGGAGGAGGCGGATCCCGGAAGGTCCCGTCCTTTTCCCTGTGTATAAACGGAAGCCTACTTCCCCCCATGTCGTAGTCCCCCCACTCCTCAGGTGGCTGTCCATATGACTGTTGAGGGGAGGGGGAACCCTGGGAAGAAGGCCTCGCCCCGGAGACTAACTGGGAAGCTCCTGAGTGAGGATTGCGTCTCTTCTGCGGACGAGACGTGCCAGGACAGTCAGAAGAGACTTCCGTCCTGGCACCGTTAGGAAGCACACCGGAACTCGGAAGAACACCCCCTGATGCTTGTTGGGGGAGATGAAGGTGGTTTTCCTCCCTGGGCAAGGGAGAGTCACCGATTGTTTAGAGGCAAGAGAAGGCCCAGAAGAGAGTTCAAGTGTTGGGGCCTCAAGTGAGGGGAATGCCAACGAAGAAGAATCAGAAGAAGAATTGGAAATAGTAAGATCAATGAAGACAACTCTGTTGGCGTTGTTAGCCATGTTGAGAATTAGATTGTGATGGTGAAGGGGTTCGGCCTAGCCCCTTAAATAGGCGAGTAATCCTAAAGGAGAAGTGCAATGGACGCGGAGTCAAAGCACTTATTCGATTGGGAAGCAGTTGCGGATTCCCGAGGAAAGCTAGGGTTGCACCATTTCATTATTGGGCTAAGGTGAACTAGGCCCGGCGTGATCAAGGTGGGCCAGTCACTTAGCGCAATGGTGATAAAAAAACTCGGAACTTTGTAAACGCGGTTAAGCCCAAAGCCTAGGCGGATAAAATTCCGCAAAGTCCTAAAGAAAGAAAAGAGTTCCAAAGGGGAAACAGTTAGCCCAAAGGAAGGAGTCTACAGAAACACAGATATGAAAGAGATGATGTCAAAGAACAAGATATTACAAGCACTATCATATTGCTGCCATTTAAATGTTACAAAGCAAAATACAACAGTTGGTAAAAAAAGTCAAGGCCCCGGGTCAGCTCGAGAATCTGGGGGAGAAAGAGGAAGAGGTAACCCGTAGTGGGAGATGAAGTCGTCCGGGGATCGGCGAGCCGGAAGACCACTCTGGATCGCCTCATAAATGCAGTGTTGCATGTCAAATTTCCCTTCTTCATAAAGGGTTTCAGCACGGGCAGTCAGGGTGGCAACCTCCTCTTGATGGGCATCAATTGCCTTCTCTAGTTCACCCATCCTTGACCGGAGCTCGCTGGTAGTCTGTCTCTCTTTCCCCAACTTCTCGAGGGTAAGCCGTTTCGCCTCCATGTGTTTCAACATGAGTTCGTTAAGACGGGAACCCTCACACTTGGCATCCTGGAGGGAACTCTCCAGCTCCGCGATCTGGGATTCCCTTTCAACCAGCTCAGCTTTCAGACTTCCCACCTTGTCTTCTGAAGCTGAGGCCGTGGATTCCAGGATGGAGATTTGTGCCCGGAGTCTGTCAAACTGCGCTTCTAGATCCTAGGTCCCCCTTTGGTAAGTAGCAATCTGCTCTTGTAGGGACTGGACCCTGGACCTTTCGGCTGCTAGTTCCATTGAGCCATCTGCCTTGAGCCGAGCATTCTCTTCCTGGAGGACCTGGACTTGTTGTTCCAGGGAGTCGACCTTCTGTTGTAGAGCCCTGGCAGCTAACTCCTTCTTCTTAAGGAGCAACACGGCCCGGTAGTTTCCTGATGCTCCACCCAAGTTCTCCTCAGTCAAAGTGAGGAGTGATTGTTGGGCCTAAGAAAGGGGAAGGGAAGTCAAGAAAGAGTTAACTTAAAAGAGATAGAGAGATTAATGGAAAGGAGGAATACCTGCTCCATAAAGTGCAGAGCATTGAGGGCAAGCAAGTCGGGGCGTGCCTGGGGAATTGCCGGGCCCTGCACTGATTCCCTCATCTTCTCTAGGTTTGCCTGGCCTGTGGGAAGCCTGTAAAGAGTTCAAGCCGCGGGAGAAGCCTGCCCAGCCCTCCTTGAAGGCAGGGTAGGTTTGCGGTGTGAACTTTCGCCGAATGGGAAGATTGACGGCCGGGGTTGCGATGGCGGGACGCCTTTCCTCCAGTTCCTGCTGTTTCTCCGATTCCCGCTGTATCTCAGCCTCTCTCTCCGCCCCGGGAGGAGCCTCAACACCTTTTTGCTTTCCGGCTTCTTTCTCCATCGTGGAGGAGAAGTCCAATTCTTTTTGCACCTCAACCTCCTTCTCTGCTGCAGGAGAAAACTCTGGTTCTTCTGCCCCTCACCTTCTTGCTCCACTACTTGGGGAGCAGTTGCAATTTGTGGGGAGGTATTGATCACCTCAGGCTTGGGCTGCACTGCAGGTCTCTTAAGCGCTGACTGGTCCCGAAGTTCGTCTCCCTCACGATCTAAGCTATCCGGGTGGAGTAGCTCCAAACCCCCGGATGCGGCAGCAGGAATGGTGTGCTGGGCACCAGAAGAAGTAGACAGGGGGCTGGGAGAAGTAGAAGTACCGTCACCCTTACCTTTCTTGGGAAGGAAGTCGTCATCTGTGACCCCTTCTCGTGGCCGTTTCTGGGACGGAGTGGGTCTTCTATGCCCGGGAATGGCAGAGATGGGAACAGCCTCTAGGGCAGCAGCCGGCTTGCGAACGGCCAAGGCAGTAGAGTTACCTAGGGGCTGGTTCCTAGAAGAGCTCATGGCTGGGTTGGATCCGCCTTTCTGTACAACTTGGCGTCTTGAAGAGAGTGGTGTGGAATTAAACCACCTTTCTCTCTCAAGGCATTGTACACTTCTTCTGGCAAGTGTGCTGCAGCAAACTTCGTCTGGGAAATAGAACTACGAAGAACAACGCCCGGCAGATCTAAGGGGCTGTGAGCCAGGAACTCAATGACAAAGTATCGCTGGGACCATTTGTCGTTCTTAAACTCAATCCTCTCAAAAATTGGGGCATGGGAATGGGGATACAGGCTGTAAGAAGGGAAAGACCCACCGATACTGAAGAGGATAAGGAATTCGTCCAATGTTGGGGTTCTGTCCAGGGCACATCACCGCAAGATGTAAGACGCGACATACTTGTGTGCGTTGGCAGTCAATTGGCCCGGAGCGAATCCGAAATGGCGGCAGAGATCACGAAGCAAACCGTGGAGAGGCAACCTCAGTTATAAGTGGTCCCCAGTTATAGATCATTTTTCATTTTTAGTCCCACACCAAATATCAATAATTTAGTCTAATTATGATATTGTTTTTCACGAATGGTCTTCTTTTAACATTCTTGTTAAAAAATGAATAAAATTGTAAATTCTCACTCCTCTCTCTCCCCAATTAAACTTCCTCCTCCTCTCGTACTCCCTTTGTTAGGGGTGAGCAAATTAACCGAACCGACCGATTAACCGATATACTATAACCGAACCGACCTCAATTTTAAATTCGGTTTCGGTTTTCGGTTTTAATGTCAAAAATTTTCGGTAAATTCGGTTATCGGTTTCGGTTTCGGTTTTGGGCAATGTTAACCGAAACCGACCGAATAACCGAGCTCATAGTAAGTGTTAAATATATGTAAGCCCAGACCAAATCTTTTAGTTATAGCCCAATTAAAAAAAACCCAATTCCCACTTCCCAGCCCTTCTCCCTGCCCAATTTCCAACCCTTCTCCCAAGTCGGCCGAAATTCTCAGATCTCAACCCCTGTGTCGTTCTCGTCTTCTCCGTCCTCACGAATCGGCAAGCACCATCTCACATTCTCCCAGTTCGTGCGTTCTCAAGCCTACGCCATTCACGCCAAGATCTCGGCAATCACCATCTCCGTTCCGGCATCACCAATCGGCAATCACCAGGTTTGTTCATTTTTTTTGTTGCTGCGTATATGAACATGGTATATGAACATGAATATTTCTGATCTTGATGAGTTGATGACTATGTTTTTTCTTATTTTTTTCGTCCCAATGATTTTTTTCTTCTGATGGTCAAACAAAGACTGTTCTTGTATCCTAATAATTTTTTTTCTTCTGATTGTCAAATAAAGCCTGAACTAGAAAGATTAAATTTTTGTTTGTTTCATTAGAAAAATTACACGAAGTACATTTTCTTTACTTTTTAGCACATTAAATGAATGCCACATACTTCAATTTTTTCCAGCAATTACACAGAGTATATTTTCTTTGCTTTATTTTTAAAACTCAAGTTAAGAAATCACCATAAGATTTGTTTTCCTCGTTTCAATCTAGAAAAACAAACCACTGCACATATTTTAAATCATATTTCAAACCACTGCTTCATTTTAAAACAGACCTCGGTATTCTGTAACTAATTTTTTTTGTTTAACTAATTGTTTTGTTTTTTCATTATTCAAGATTAGTTCAAAATTCAAGAGCAAAGTCAATGGAGTCAATAGCTTCCCATGATTCACAATGTGAAGAACGAAATGAAGCCCAAAATGCATCAATTACTGAAGAAAGTAGGGCAAAGTCCTCATGTTCTAGACCTAAGAGGAAGGAAAGGAGCGCACCTTCAACAAGATCTGCTTTTGTTTGTTTAAATATTACTCCGTATGTTTGACCCTTGGGAGATAATATGTTTTTGTCATTTGGAGCTGTTATAATATGTGTTTGCTATTACTTTCCTTTAAAAATTTGAGAAATGCTTCAATATTTGCAGTAGGCAGTAGGGTTTTAGATTGAAAATTTCGGTTTTTTCAAACCGACCGAACCCGATCGGTTTTTACTCGGTTCGGTTTGTTCAGTTCTATATTTAATTCGGTTCGGTTCGGTTCGGCCGATTTTTTCAAGTACTTTTGAATTTCGGTTTTTTCGGTTTTGGGCCGAAACCGACCGAACCGAACCGATGCTCACCCCTACCCTCTGTGGCCAAACCTGCCACTAGGTTTGAAGCTCTGAATCCAAAACCAAAACGTTCACTCTCTCTTAATTGTTCGTCTTCCTGGTAAAACTTAGAATTGAAACCACTAACCTTCATGGATGAGTTTCAAGGTTTGTTTTCGTTGCAATTTATTGAGGCTAACCCATGAAACTCATCTATGAAGGTTACTAATTTTGATTTTGGATTTCAGCAGAAAGGCAAACAATTGAGAGGGGAGTGATGCAGTTTCAGTTTTGGGTTCAGAGCTTCAAATTCAGCGACATGTTTTGGAAGGAGTACGAGAGGAGAGATGAAACTTAATTGAAAAGAGAGAGAAGTGTGAATTTACAATTGAATAAATTCCATTAAAGGTCCCCAGTTATAGGTCGTTTTACATATTTAGTCTCTACATATCAAATATTACTAATTTATTTAGTCTCTAATTATTTTATTCATTTCCAAGAATGGTCCTTTGTTAACATTTCCGTTAAGAACATGGATAAAATTGTCAATTCACACTCTTTTCTCTCCTCAATTAAGCTTCCTTCCTCCCCTTGCACTTCTTTCCCAAACCCATCTAAGTTTGAAGCTTTGAACCAAAAACCGAAATCATCACTCTTCTCATAACTGTTTGTCTAACTGGTGGAACTCAAATTCGAAACAAGTAACCTTAATGGATGAGTTTTAATGTTTATTTCTTTGCAATTTTTTGAGACTAACCGATAAAACTCATCCATAAACCTTATTGGTTTTGATTTTAAGTTCCACCAGGAAGACTAATAATTGAGAGAGGAATGATCATTTCAATTTTGGGTTTAGAGATTCAAACTCAGCGATGAGTTTGGGATATAGTACGAGAGGAGGAAGTTTAATTGAGGAGAGAGAGAAGTATGAATATACAATTTTATCCATGTTCTTATCAAAAACGTTAGCAATGGACCATTTGTGAAAAATGATATAATAATAGGGGATTAAATTAGTAATATTTGATATGTATGGACTAAATATGTAAAAACGACCTATAACTGGGGACCTTTTATGGAATTTACTCTTTACAATTTTATCAATGTTCTTAACGAGAAAACAGAGGATCCTTCATGAAAAACAATATAATAATTGGGGACTAAAGTATTGATGTTTTAGGACTAAATATGGAAAATAACCTATAATTGGGGACTTTTCATATAATTTTAAAACAGATCAAAATAGAAGTTTCATGTTTTTATTCTCGAAATAGGAGTTAAAATGCATTTACATTACCAATCATGACCATGTACATTACGTAAAATGTACATGCAGAATGTCACATTAAAACAATGTGAACTCCTATTTAGAGAATAAAAACATGGAACTCCTATTTTGGTACTTTCTCTATGTTTTAGTTTTATTTAGAGTAATTTTTTTACGAAATGTTTCTTATTATATTATTTTAGAACTTCTAAATCTCACTCCCCATGCATCTGGGATTGACTAACATGAACCCAAACATGTTGATTTTATGTTATGAATAAATATATTTTTGAGTAATTTACTTAAATAGAACTAAAACATAATGACTTTCTCAATATAGGACCAAATGTTTTTATTTCTCAATGTAGGAGTATTGGTCATTTTCTATTAGTTATTATTCAATTAAATGTCCAACACCATTTGAACATTATTCTTCTCACAAGTCATTATTAAGTCTAATTTAGGGAATAAAAATGTTTAAGTCATACATTGGTAAATGACTTATGTTTTAGTCATATTCCTTTATTTAATCAGTGGTCAAAGTTTGTGAATTTTGATAGTAAAAAAGTTAAAACTAGACAAATACTTAGGGATGAATGTGATACTATAAACTCCCTTTGTCCGGAAATGATATTTCAATTGGACTTTTCAAGGTTTTTAATGTTACCTATTGACCTTTAATATCTATATTCATATATGGAGATAATTTATGAAAATTGATTAATTCAAAACTACATTTAATTAAGAGACTACTGCTATTACATTTATATCAAAATACAATGTAATTTTTTTATATATTGAGTTCAAAGTTTACAAACATTGATCGAGGAAATTCCAAATAGAAGATCATTTTTGGACTGAGGGAATAACATATAGTTTAGAATTTTTATTTAATTACACGTCAAAAATGAACATGATTAATTTTAAAAAGTCATAATTAAACTGATAAGTCCATTTCGTTCTTATCATTTACATCATATTCTAAACGTTATTGCACGTAAATAGTATTTAACCATCTCATAAAATGGTTTTTAATGAATAAAAATCTCATTTTCGTTCTAAGAGTCATAAAAAGGGATTTCTCATGAAATCATCATAAATCATCCATTTTATTTTCAAATACTTAAGAAAAGGATGAAGAATCATCAAGGGATCAAGATTCGGGTTTGAACGAGCTTCTGGGAGGTCAAAAATAGTGTTCGGGGCAAAAAAAAAGTGAAATTGGGCCAAAATCATGAACCAGCCGCGAAGCCCCACAATAGAAGGGCCTGAAGCATCCAACTTGGATGCTTGGCCAAGTTGGATGCTTGGGAGTTGGACGCTTCAGCTAGATTGCAGGGCAAAAATGACACATGGCAGAACCTGATTGGTTGGGACACCCAAAGCGTTCAGATCTGGATGCTTGGAGTGGGATGCCTTGGCTCCGACTCTAAATAAACATCGCCTCTCCTCTTCATTTCCACCACCATTCTACACCCCATTTTTGGGTTTCCTCTTCCATTTTGCTCAATATTAGTTGTATATTAGTTTCAATAATAGTTTTTAAGTATTTTCGGAGGATTCGACTCCAAATCTGTTCTGTTCTGCTTGTACAGAAGTTGTAAGTTCTCTCTATTTAATAAAATGTTGTTTTAATCCATGTTTGCAAAGTATGAGTTAGGGTCCAGATCTCTGGGTCCATACTAGTTTGGTTGTATATTTTGAATGTTAAATTAATAGTGGAATGATTAGTCAATTGTGCTTGCCTTATTTAGTTAATTAATCTCCAAACATTTAATTAGCTATTTATTGAGAAAATATTGTATGCCAAAGGGCTATGATATTCAAGTGCAACGAATTAAGTACAAATCTAGAAATGGATGAGTAATAATAGAAATATTATTATTCCAATTGTTATTTAAATATGATAAAATAAATCCAAATGATGTCAAGACCCTATGTCCAGATCTACACTTATACTATGTGAAATTTATTTATTATTATTATTCTGCTCCTCTTATATTCGTTCCGACAAGACTTTCATAAACCAATCCTATCATTCGCCTAATTAGAGAAATTAAACTAATTTCCTTCGTCCACTCCGGTACACGACACTTGGAGAGAAAACTAACCCTGCTACCCGAAAACTATGAACAAATAGTGCCAGAGAAGTGGTGTTTAATTAGTACTACCTCCGTCCCAGAGTATATGTCCACTTCCATTTTTACACACCATCCAATACACTTCTTTAATCCATTTTATCTTGTAATTTGTATATTAAAAAATTATAGAAATTATATATGGAGTATTAATAATCTATATGTTAAGACAAATCAAACAAGATCACACATGACTATATTTAGGCTTATACATTGAAAGAATTTGATGAGTCAAAGTACTTAGATGAACATTTCCAAAAGTCAAAACTGGACGAATAGTTCGGGATGGAGGGAGTAGTGTTTAATCAGTATGGATTTGCTCCATCTGTCCATTTCTCCATTATACGTACGGTACTATGTGTTTAATCAGTCTGGATTTGCTCCACCTGTCCATTTCTCCATTATATTTCCCATTCTACAAAACACCTTAGCACTTGGTTGCTGCTAAATCGGTTTGCTGCAAGAGATGGAAAGGAAAAGAAACAGGGGAGACTTTGAAAGCCGGACTTCAACTTCAAGAATGAATATCTCCCATTGCATGGATGATGTAGCAGGAGAAGAAGAGGACGATGATCAATGTGACTTGTCCTGTTGTCCAAGGACGCCCAAAATGTCTACCCCTCGAAAGCCACGCCAAAAAAACAAATCCTTGGATCATAAAATCCTTTTTCAAAGCCATAGTAGTGCAGGCAAGTTCTCTGTCTTATCCAATGACGCCCAAAATGGCACTTTCAAAGCTCTGCAGGCAAGTTCTATGCCCTTATATCTGTAGTTTTATTGTTTGTTTGTTTCTTTTAAATATACTTGTACTTAGTAAAAAGCATATCATATACGGAGTAATCCATCAAAGACAATCATATACTCCTAAAATTAATTTCCCATTTTGACTTTTGCAGTCAAAGTTTTTAAACTTTGATTGCATGTTACGGAAAAAACATATTAAATTTTCATATAAATTCATTTTAAAACATAGTTTTGAAATATATTATTTTGATAATATATATTCATATAAAACTGGAGATATAAATGGTCAAAGTATCACATTGGAGACCGTGAAAAGTCAAATAGGAAGTTAGTTTTAAGGCGGAGGGAGTATAATGAAGTGGTAAGTAAACCAACCCATTTTGGATAGCAAAATTGATCCTACTTAAGACGTATTTTCAAATTTACTGAGGTTTTTTTGCATTGCAGGTGTATGGTAGAAGATACGGGGAAAAAAAGATTGTGCCTTTCTTTCAAAATGTGAGAGCAAAGAAATTCAATTTGTTGTGTTCTACATTTCAGCTCTACAAAGATTATGAAAGCTATAAGAACTCTTTTTGAATATGTAAAAGACTTTTTTAAAGTGTATGCAAGATAATGAGGGTAGTGAAGCAGCTGCGGCAAAGTTGGAAGAGGAAAGGGAGGTGTTTTGGTTGCGCATTGCATCATTCATTTCTCATATGCATCCTGTCCTGGGTAATGTTGTTGTAACAGTTTCAATTGAATGTTTCCTTATTCCACATTTCCTACTTTCTCTTTGTGTTTCTCCGAAAAGAACCTCATGCATTTTCATTTTTTACAAGCTGAAATCCATCATTGGTCCTTCAACTTTATTAGTTGTGCACGATTGGTCCTTCAAGTTTCTAAAGTCCATAAATAGTCCTTCAACTTTATGAGTTCTGCACCATTGGTACTTCAAGTTTCAAAAGTCCATTAGTCCTTCAGGTACATGTCAGCCCTCCATATGAAGTTCTTTTGACAGTAAATATTAAAAGGTAAACGAAATACTAGTTTCATATAATACGAGTAAATTCCACTAGGTACGACTACTCCGTATTATATGGATCTAGTATTCCATTTAGCTTTTAAAATTTACTGTCAAAAGGACATCATGTGGAGGGCTGACGTGTACTTGAAGGACTATTTATGAACTTTCAAAACTTGAAGGACCAATCGTGCATAACTCATAAAGTTGAAGGACTTTTTATGGACTTTTAAAACTTGAAGGACCAATCGTGCATAACTCATAAAGTTGAAGGACTTTTTATGGACTTTTAAAACTTGAAGGACCAATCGTGCACAATTGATAAAGTTGAAGGACCAATGGTTGGGTTTAGCCTTTTTTACATGATCAAATGCATTAGATAGTGTAGTTATTTTAGAATACAAAAACTTTTCAAGTTTGAGATTTTGATTGAGTTGGTTCATTGACACATTAAGATTAAATTAAAAGAAAAGTATCAACTTCATAGGTAATAGACGATTCTCTCCATGGAAAGGCTCTGTTGTTGATTCAGTAGCAGGAGCATTTCTAGCTCAAAATGTGTCAGACGTCTCATCAAGGTAAGCAATAGACCATATTTCCTTTTATGTCCCATAAAATGAAAGAACAAATGGTGAATCTTTATTAAACTTTGACATCCTTATCCTTACTCGGAGCAAATACTTTTGCAGCTCTGCTTTTATGTCCCTTGTGGCCAAGTATCCAAATGCTGACAATGGAAATAAGCACATGAATCATCAAAGTGTTTTACGGAAAACAGAGGTGAAGAAGTTGAAGAAAAAAGGACTTAGAGTGAAGCTTTTAGTCCGGAAAACAGAAAAGAAAGGAAAAAGTGTTTCTTTTCGAAATAATATAAGAAAGATGTGTGCTCATGACGACCAGAATTTGAGATGTGATGATGATGATACTACATCTAATGCTATAGATTGGAACACGGTTTGCTCCGAAGATGTCGATGAGATTTCTGAAGCCATTAAGGAAAGAGGAATGGACAAAAAACTTGCAGAGAGAATCAAGGTAATTCATATTCAATTGAAGAATATTTCACTTTGAATAATATGGAGTATATGTTATGACATTGCTACTGATTCTTTGTGTTTTCAATTGCTGAAGAATTGCCTTAAAGTTCTTAAAAAAGAACTTGGTAGCATTGACCTTGAATGGCTTCGTAATGTTTCGAGTGAGGATGCAAAGTAACCATCTATCTGTGTTGTATGATTGTATTAAATTTTAGTCAACAAAAAGAACAAGAAAATTCAGTGCATATCTCGTTTTTAGGAAATATCTTTTAAGCATATACGGGCTTGGATTAAAGAGCGTGGAATGCATACAACTCCTAACGCTCAATCACCCAGCCTTCCCGGTACGTTAATAACTTAATCTACTGAAATGGTGCATTTTCATGTCATGAAGTTTCTATGAATATGGGGTAATGTTTGCTGTAAATAACCACAAATGCATAACTTTGTTGGTACGATCAAGGTTGACACCAATGTCGGACGCATATTAGTTCGTTTGGGATGGGTTCCCATTGATTCACTTCCACTAGACCAACAAATGCATCTCCTCCAAAAGTTAGTATATCATCATCATAATCATCATCACGAAGTACCACACTACTTAACAAACATCTTACTAATTGTTATCCATACCTCTAATATAGGTACCCAAAAGAGAACTCCATTCACGCGTATATATGGCCATTGATATGTACGCTTGATCACTCGATCCTGTAAACAACTCTACCTATATCCTATATGTGTTGTTGTTCTTCATCAAGATATGAATTATTATTATTATTATTATTATTATTATTATTATTATTATTATTATTATTATTATTATTATTGTTATTATTGTTATTATTATTATTTAGCTAGATACTGATTGATAGAATATTAAAACATTTTCTGGGCTTACAGCCAAAAGTTTGAAGTTTTTGTTGAATTGGTTCCTTGACACTAATGCAGCTATTCATCCATTTTAATTTGCAGGTATGAAGTTCACAACCAGCTGATTACATTTGGAAAGGTATTCTGTGAAATCTTCAGAAAGTTGTTTACTTATGTGACAAGCTATGTTAAAAGCAGCTACTGAGAATTTGATGCAATACAGGTATTCTGTACTAAAGTTCAACCGAATTGCAATGCTTGTCCAATGAGAGAAGAGTGCAAGCACTTCGCAAGTGTTTCCATGAGGTTTGCTTCAATTTTCGTGACTTTTTCTCTATGCATTGTATGTTCTCAACTGAATGCATAACAGTTAAACAGGTTTGGACTTTAAAGAATATTTTTCAGCGGAAATGTTTTCTTTTTTATATGTCTGCTGACTTTTATGTATTGTTCCAAGCAGTTCAAACCTTATTTGTCCGGTGTCACAAGAGAGAGGTCAAGTTGGCCAAGTTCATCCACAATCATCGGCCAATAGTTCCATTATCACTGAAAAGATGGAACAAGAATCTGTTCTTTATCCAATTCTCGAATCAACAAAAATAGAATTTGAAGATATTGGCCATGATGAAATACCAACAATAAAAATTGACAAGGCACTCATGGAAGAGAGTAACCTTGATGGGTCTAAAGCTGTGATAGTTCCAACTCTAGAAGGTCCATCCATCCCTTTGCCTAAACTGAGAAACATAAGCCGTTTAAGGACGGAGCATGAAGTGTAAGTAAATTCATTTCAAAAAAATGCTTCTTGTAGAAGTTTCAATGATAAAAAAGCTTCTTTTGAAATACTTTTTCAATTCTTGCTACAGTTATGAACTTCCAGATGCACACCCACTTGCTGCTAAGGTTAGTTTCTGACATGGTCTTGCTAAAAACTTCCAGAAGCACTCTTCTGTACTTTAACATTTCTATGGTGTTTGAAATCATTGAATGAAGCTAGGGGAACGAGAACCCGATGACCAGCCCTATCTGCTTGCTATTATTACGACGCCAGGTGGGTTGATAGTAGTTTAGGCTTCCTAGTGAGTCTCAACTTGAAGATTGTGTTAGAACTATATACGTAGTAACTAACTATGCTTTCCTTTGACATATTTGCATTAGATTCCTCAAAGACTTTGGAGGGCGGAATGGAAGAGGACATCAATACAGTTCAGGGAACACTTATGGTGAGTAAATAAACACAGAATTAATTCCAGTTTCATCCATGCTTACTACAGATAGGAACTGCCCTGACCTCACCTCAATACTCAGATACCATGTAAAACGGCCAACAAAGGACGTTTTCCACTCAATGGAACATTCTTCCAAGTCAATGAGGTTAGTTAATGGTGTACTCATGTGTTATACTTTGTCTTAAGGAGTCTCTCTTGGATCTGTAATATGGCAAAACCAAAATGCTCTTGCAGGTGTTTGCTGATTATGAATCCTGCAAGCACCCCATTCGTGTTCCGAGGGCGTTGATATGTGAACTTCCAAGAAAGACATTGTACTGTGGAACCTCAATAAGTGCAATATTTCGAGGTAAGGTTCACAAACACAATGTACGTATAGGACGTCATAAATGACTGAACTTGCATTTTTTTTGTTACCTTTCATTTTTGCTCTTTGCTTCGTTGTTTTCTGTATTGCTTGAGTTGGGGGTCTCTTAGGAAACAGCCTCTCTACTAGGTTGTTGTAGTCTGATGAATATTTGTATGAAATTCAGATATGTCAACTGAAGGTGTGAAGAGATGCTTCTTGAGAGGTATGATGTGTTCAAACACTAATATATTGCATGTGGTGAATAAATTAAATTAAACAAACTTTGAATTGTTGGATGTAGGATATGTTTGTTTAAGGGGTTTTAACCGCAAAACACGAAAGACCACGCCTCTTCCACCAAAACTCCACCCCCCGTTGAGTAAGGCCGTGAAAGAGAGATTGAGAAGACAAACGAAAAAAGAGACACGAAAAGAAGAAGAAGATGATGATGATGAAGATGAAGAGAAGTAAATGTCTAAGGAGGACATCAACTTCAGCTGTTGTGCAGTATTGTAGATAATATGTAGTAATAGTAAAATCTCTTTTTACAGTCAACCTCGCTCTTTTAATTGCTTGTGTATCTTCTTGAGCAGAAAGGTAGTTTTGATGCCACTGCACCCTTCTACGACTGGTTGCCGGAGAATGCTGACCATGAATTGAACCACCTGAATAGTTTTGTCTGTCAATAATTTTTGTTTTTCATTGTAAATAAAAAGACAAGAAGTGTATGTGTCTCTTCTTTACAATGTTATATGGTGCGCACATATAGTAATGTGAAAATTGCAGGTGTAATTCAGTAGCAATAGTTGCTTGTATGTAGATTTCTAATATTATACGAGTATTTGTTAGACAATGGGCAAGGTTCCAATAACATTAACCCCCATGTCATCCTATGACATGAGCTCCGTTTGAGGTTTTTACGGTGCTCCGTTTGAAAAATTGATTGTTCATACCCCTCCCAAACCCCCCGATAAACTCCCCCAACTCGGCCCGACCCGAAGCAACCCCTCCTCCCCGTCAATTGCACCCCACAAGATGTAGTTGACTTTGGAGTCAAATTTTGACTCCAAAGTCAACTACATCTTGTGGGGTGCAATTGACGGGGGAGGAGGGGTTGCTTTGGGTTGGGCAGAGTTGGGGGGGTGATTTACCAGGGGGGTTAGGAGGGGTATGAACAATCAAGTTTTCGAACGGAGTACCGTAGGGACCTCAGGTCATCCCATGACATTGATTTCCAATGTCATGGGAACCGTGGTGATTTAGGATAGATGTATTATTTTAGTGGGTTTCCATTTTCTATTTTTAGTTTTGTTAGGAGTCTCTCTTATATATTCATTATCATGTACTTCATAATTTAATGAGAAATATTATTATTCCAATATTTCAACATGGTATTAGAGCAACCGCTCTTGGTGACCTAAAATTCTTCGCACTCGCTCCTAGCGGGCAGCGCTGCCATTAGATGCCTGCCTGACCCATGTTCTTCCTTCAATTTTAAAAATCAGAAACTTCTCAAAAAAACTCTCTCAAGTCATTTTTCTTTCTTCCCAAAATCAAGGCAAAAGAAAACGATAGTTGTATCTCTCCACTAGTACGCAAAAGGGCAAAAGCACCGGTTGTTTTATACCTTTAGCATCGGTTTTGTACCGATGTAAATACAAGTGATGCAATTGGTCCAATTTAATTGCATCGCTTTGGAAACAACCGATGCCTTTGCTATTTATTAATTTAAAAAAAAGAGTATTAGCACCGGTTGTTTCTAAACAACCGATGCCTTTGCTATTTTATTAATTTAAAAAAAGAGTATTAGCATCGGTTGTTTCTAAACAACCGATGCAATTGCTATTTTATTAATTTAAAAAAATAGCAAAGGCATCGGGTGTTTCTAAACAACCGGTGTCTTTGCTATTTTATTAATTTAAAAAAATAACAAAGGCATCGGTTGTTTCTAAACACTCGATGCCTTTGCTATTTTATTGTAGCTTTGTTGCAATCTTCATATCAAGTTTTCTAAATACTATTCTTTTCTTGACATCTTATTTCTTACCAGCACGTGTACACAGCCTTAATTCAATCTATAATATGAAGAAATTTTCAAACAGAATTTTCAGAACACGAAAACCTAAAAAAAACTAATGGGTTCATCTTTACTTTGTAAAAAGTAGCAGGTACGCGAGAACGTTGAGGGCCAGCAGCAGCCAAAATTGTGCACGTGACAGCAGCGGTTAGAGCCTGCTCAAGAGCTGCTTCATCGATTTCCCTGTCCCAAGAAAAGACGGATAAGGAAATGCAGAAAAATACATTTATGATTTGTTGTTGATTCATCTTGTAAGAAACATACTCATCTCCAATTTATCGCTTATCAATCTGTGAGATGTCATAATAACACAAGGCAGCTTCCAAAAATGTCCTCTTGAAAAGATGCTTTGTTCATAAAAGCTTCAGCAATAGTAATTTTGAGATGAACAGAAGGTATGATCATAGATCATTCAAAAAATTGCATGACTTCATCTGCATGTTTGCTTTGCTATGGTTTCATAAACTGATACAAAAATAATCCATACTTAATAACTTCATATCAATGAGAATGTGACAAATAAGCCAAGCAAACGGGTGATGCAACAGAACTTTAAGCAAATGATGTTACTTAGTGAGCCAATATAAACCTATTCACCCGGGGGGTACTGGAAACAAACTGTTGTATTGGGAGAAAAGGTGAGAGTAAAGAATGTTACCAGGTGGAGTTCCACAGCACAATCTACGGTCGTCAGTGTGTTCTACATCCAATCCCATGAACCATGACCCCAGAGAAACATCCTCATTAACGTATTTGTGAGCACATTCCTAAGAAGAAGATTTATATTTCATGATTCACAAATTTATAAGGGAATTATAAAAGAAATGAAGATTAGGAAAATGACTATAAACTTTTGCTAAAAAAACTAGAATGCTTACTGGTTTAGTGAGATGTATATAGGTGGCTAAATCTTTTGATATGGCATATAGCTGCCCCGTTGCATGTCGGAAATACTTGTTTCCTTCCTCGCCAAATTTCCAGTGTTCCGGCTCATGATATCTTACTCCCCTACAGACATAGGAGGACCAACATAAGGTCAGTAAACAAAAAAAAGCTTTCGAATATGAAGAAATCTTTATCACTTTCAATTCAAAGTATGCAAATAAAGGACTGGCCTTGGATTCTTGGAGGTGATTTCAATGCCTTTGTTGTGTTAGATTAGATGAACACAAAGGCAGATTCATGATTTCTCTTGCTCATATTAAAGATCTAAGAGAGATTGCATTGTTAATTGTAGCTTCTAACAAGAATCTTAAGTGCTCCAAAATTTCTATAAAAAAATAGGAACTTTTTGTTTCACCAAAAACAAAGTCACAACAAAGCACTTACAAAGAATCCACCACTGAGGCACTGACCACTATGTTCAATACAAGTAGAATTACACTAAATGACTTTTCGATCTGAAACTTCATATGAATGAATGAATGAAAATTCTTCTTCTCCTTCATATTTAATTAAATTAACATACTACAGAACATATGTGATATTTAATCTAATTAACATATCACACAACTGAAGGTAGATACTCAACCTTCAGCTGTGAATCTGTGATGCCTTTTCAATCTATGGAGCTTTCTCTGAAAAAATAGCAGATAGAAAACATATAACTAATGGAAGGATAATACTTCTAATAAACTCTTTTGACCAATATTAAGGCCACTAACAACAAGCCAGTGAGACTACTCCTAGAGTCAGACATCAACTTCCATTTATCACCACCACCTTTGGAAACCTAAAAAAATGAAATTCATGAAATTTGGAATCATTTAATGCAAAAACTCTTCTCCAGAGTGGAAAAAAGCTTTGTGTTTCAACAATGAAACGCAATAGAGAATATTTTTAAAAAGACAAAAACGAAATAATGATAAGGCTTTGTAATTAGATTAAATATCACATATAAATACTAAAAAAGAATTGAACCTGCCAAATCAAGGATCGGATCCCGCCTGCATCGATCACACGACGAAAGGAGAAGACGGGTCAAAGAGTCGAAGCTCCCCTCATGCGACTGAAGAAGATCTGGAGAAGGAAAATCAGGAAAGAAACGAAAGATGACCACGACGAAGACGAAGTCGGCGCAAACGGCAAGAGGAAGGCGTTGAAGACAAGAGGCGGCGGCGACGGAGAAGGAAGACGAAGGCTGCTAGATGAGATCTAGGGATGAGATCTAGATATGAAATGAGGAGAGAGAGAGAGAGAGAGAGCAGGATAAACAGAACACCTTTGGTCTTTGGCATCGGTTGCAGGCTACCGATGTTTTTTCATTTTTTAATACAAAAACCAAAAAACATAAAAATAGATATTAGCATCGGTTGTTAAAAATAACCGATGCTATTGATTAATTGCACCGGTTATTTTTAATATCTGATGCTAATACCTTTTTTAATTTTTCAAAAAAAATTAAAAATTAGCAATTGCATCGGTTCTTTGAAACAACCGATGCTTTAGATCTTTTGCATCGGTTTTTTCAATAAGCGATGCAATTGAGGGCAGTCTATTTGCTTATTTTTGTAGTAGTGCTCTAACCTACCTTTTTTCTTTAAAATCACTTATTCTAATTATCAATCTCCCTTTTCTTTCTCTTCTATTGAACCAATAAAAATCCAAAGTAAATTAACACAAAAGTAAAGCCAATAAGAGGGAGAAATAGGGAAAGAAGAAAGAATACCTCTACAACTCATCCCTCCGAGAAAGTCATAAAAATTCTCAAACTTGAGAAAAAGAAATAGGGCATTGCCCTCATGATTTTGTGTTATTTTTTATAAACTTTGATCCTTTTAAGAGAGGATCTAACTCCACAAATATTCCAAAAGAGGACTAACATTAAAGACTAATGAAGTTAAAGTCCTTAGAGGTCCTTCCTCCTTATTTTTCTTCTTCCTTGGGGCTGAGATTGGAGTGGCATTCTTTGTAGGAATTTTAAAGCTTTGTGGTTTTAGCTCTGATGAGTCTCTGACATTTTCAGCTTCATCATCATCTGAGTGCCTTTGTAAGAATTTCCTCATCTTCAAATTGATTGGTATGGTGAAGCTCTTCCACTAGCATGGCTAAGCCCTTTTTAGGGGAGTGGTTATGGATACAGTCATCCCATGAGTGTCTGTTTGTCCCATTTTTGGTTTGGTTTTCCTTTCAGGTGACCCCTGCTGAGTTTTATCCTTCAGGAAAGTTGCTTTCTTGTAGAAGTATTCTTTAGCTTCTTGAAGGTAGGGAAAATAGGATAAGGATTGTTCATCTGAGGAGTTACTGGCCAGGGTTGTAGATCCATTAGATG